AAGACAAGTTATTTGGCACCCTAAGATGTTGAAACCAGAGCATGCATTCTCATTATAGGCAGTTTTCATGTAAGATGAATAAAATCCCCCCTTTTGCACAGCATTCCACATTCCAGGAACTATTTGTGGTGGCCCTGTGTAAGTCCCTCCCTGTGGGAGGGAACACCTGCAAGCTGGGTCCACTTCCCACTCGCCTCACTCCACCTGCTTTTCCCTTTGCTGATCCATGGTCTTTCCGTATCAAACACCTGACTGGGAGGAGGATGCCAGAGAGTCCCAGTGGAGATCAAGGAGCCTGAGACTGGTCTTGGGGCCCCTGCACATCAGCTGTCAGCTTGGCCTATGCCTCCTGGAGCATCTCTGTAGTCCACCGCCACCTGCCCACCTTCATTACTCCCTTGCAGCACAAGGCCGTGCCCCTTTGCCTTCCATGCTCTGAGCTCTTTGCAGGCTTATCTTGTGTTCTGAAATGAGCTCAGGGCCTTCCTCATTCACAGTGGCCCTGCCCATCTGTTGCCCCCTCAACCTCCTGCAATTCCAGACCCCAATAGCGCTAACCAAGGAGGGGGTCTCTCTCAGGGCAGGGATCTCATACGTGCTACCATGTACACCTGTGTAGCACCAACTGTGCATGTGAATGGATGCTGCCCCATGGGTGACCAATGACTCCACGGGCCATGGCCAGGTGGGAACCCCCTGCCAGAGCCTGGGGCTGGGGACTTACCTGAAACCACGGGTCAGCACACCAGTGGCCAGGGCACAGTTCCCAGTTGCAGCCCCAACAGCTCTTGGGCTGGTTGTGGTTGTGGTTGTGGTTGTATTGCATTGTTGTTGTGTGGTGTTATAGAGAGGCTGGATGCAGTGCATGGGGAACACCTACATGTTTGTGCAGCTGCAGCTGTAGTTGCACAGCTCCCATTTGGCAGTAACCCACCTGCCTGTGCAAAGCAGCCCAGTTCAGCGCTCCTCTGCCCATGCTCCACCTGCCAGGGCACAGCAGCCCAGCTCAGCACCCCTCTTCTGCCTGTGACTCACCTGCCAGGGCAGAGCAGTATAGTTCAGACCCCCTTGGCCACAACAGGCTGGGGTGCCACACCCTGTAGCCTTGATGAACGTAGAACGAAGAGATGGAGCACACCCCACTGCCAAAGCACAGTTGTCTTCTTGCGGCAAGGTGCCAGGAGCCCAGACACTCCCGGGGGGGGGGGGTAATTCCCGAGCACATCCATGACCAGAAGATGTGGACTGGGGCAGTGGCGAGGGGACATTTGGGGGCTGGGGAGGAGTCATAGTTCCACGTGCACCTGCTCCATGGATCTCTCCATCTGGGTTGGATACCAGCCCAGGCCCTTGTAGGCAGCTAGCCACCTGCTCAAACCATGTTCAGGTAAGTCAGGCACGAGTCCCTCAACCTCACTTCTGCTTTCAGAAGTGCCTCCCTGTTCATGGGCATAACCGGCCCGGGTGGCAGGCACAGAGTCCCGACTATCCTTTGGTTCCCACTGCTGCCCATTCTAGCAGGGTACACCAAGCCACCTGACAACCTGCAAAACCAGACCTGATGTGATGTCCTGGCTTGCTATGGGACCGCTGGCCCCTTGTGGAGTTGAGATTATTTGGGGAGGGGTCTCCTATTTTTCTGGGGAAGGATTCAGGAAGGTGTGAGGGAGTCCCACTCCCTGGGGTGGGGCTTAGGGAGATCACGATGTGCACAGGGAGCTAAGGAAACCTTGAAGCCCCAGCTAATGCTGTTCCTGGGGCTCAGCAAGAAGGGGCAGAACAGGGGGAGGGGGTCATGGCGTTTTAAGGTATGGCCTGTGACATTAACATGCCAAATGGGCACCAATGCATGCCCTGGCTGTCCACTTCCAATTCAGCTTCCCGTTTATGGCCTGGGAAAGCAACAAGGGTGGGCCATGTGTTTGGGCTCCTGAGCCACATGAGCGACCAGGAAGAAGTCTCTGACTCCTGGCCCAACCCGGGCTGTTACAGGCATCTGGGAAGTTAACCAGCACATGAAAGATTTCTCTCTCTAACTTTTTTTCTTTTTAGATTTATTTATTTTTAATGAAAATGTGGATTTATGGAGAAAAGGAAAGACAGATACAGAGATCAAAGACAAGACGTTAAGACAGAGGCAAAGATGTTCCATCTGCTGGTTCACAATGGCTAGAGCTGAGCAAATCTGAAGTCAGAAGCCTGGCACCTCATCTACCAATTGGTGTGGGAGAAGGGGCAAAGGTGGTGCCACAGAGCAAGCTTATGGGATGGGGCAATTGTGTCAGCCTGGTCCGGGCCACTTGAGTCGACTCCCTAGTTATGCAGTCAGGGGCTAGGCAGTCAGCAGACAGTGTGCGGAGGAGAGCAGGGCCAGGGGAAGAGCAGTGATGCAGATAATTAGTGGATGAAGGTGGTGGGGGCACGGGTATGTCCATTTCACTCACACACCATACACAGGTGTGTCCATCACACACACACACACCATCCTCCCCTCCCCTCCACCCCCGTACCTTTACAGAGGCCCTTGGGGGACAGACTGGAGATGAACCATTACATCATGGTCCATAGTCGATGATCAAATGGCTTTCTGGACACTTCTCTGAATATCCTCACACATTTATAGACAACTTTAAAGTGCTTTTTTTTAAAAAAATAAGATATCCACATATTTTTTTTTAATACACAAATTATCAGGATACAACAGTGAAACCTCACCAAAGGACCATGCTGGACAAGAATCAGCACCTCCTGCTCCAGGTCTAACAACTGCTGCCTTTCCTTTCCACTCTTCTTACCTCACACACTGTCCCCAGGCACTGTGTGCACAGGCTTGGACCAGGGGGTGATGCTAAGGTGACCTGGGGGAGCCCTTAGAGGGTGGGGCCTAGTGGGAGGGCTGAAGGCCCTCTGTAGTGCTTGTTGCAGAGTGGGTTCCAGGCACTGGCTTGGCTGCCTGGCTCCCCCTGCAGTCTTCCCTGGGCCATCTACTACCCTTGTGGGAGGCCAAACCATGGGACTGCCTGATCTTGGACTTGAGTTCCCTACAGCCACAAGCCAAGTAAAGCTCTTACTGCACCTGTCAAGTTGCTGCTGGGGAATGTCAACATCTGGTCAGCTCCCCTCCTTGACTGCAGGTGTCAGGAAGCATTCCAGGTGCATGCAAAAGGCTACCGGACTTCTACTTAATGAGCCTTATTATATCTATTTCCTAGACACACTGTATATATATATTTATTCATCTGTTGTTTTCTTACCCTGATCGTGCAGCCCATTTGACAGCATGCAGAAATTTCCTTTGATGGAGTGTTTCCTCCTTTGTAGTAAACTAGAGCTGCTCACTTACACAAGGGCCCACGCCCCCTGGCTCCTTTGGAAACTCACTTGGAGCTGTCGGCACCTGTGCCGCCTGATATGAAACTCCCCAGATCCCAGAATGCAGCTCTTCTACTTTACCACCTCAGAGTACCAAGTGATCGACAGATTAGTCTTGCTCACTTAAAAAAAAAAATAATCAATACAAATGGCTTCTTGACCTCATCGTTAAATAAAGACATGACATCCTTAAACAGGAGTCAGCCTCTCCACGCCTGTGTGGATACACTACAATTCACCTCTTCTCCTGTTGATGGAGTTACGTTTTCCCCTCATGTGGAGGAATTACTGCAATGCACAGCCCTGTGGTCTCTGGCACACACATGCTCTCACTTCTGGCAGGTGCATGTCTAGTTGCTGGAGGGGGCGGCAGTAGCTTTAGCTGACACAGCTAAGTTTTTCCAGAGGAGTTGCCTGACTTATTCCAACCCATGGAGAAGGAGAATTTCATTATCACACACTCGCCAAGTTGTGTCACTTCCATCCCCCTTATGTATTTTAATGTTTATCTGTTTACTTCCATCTACTTGAGGATCAGAATAAGAGAGGAAGAGAGAGAGAACCAAAGATTTTTCCATTTATTGGTTCACTCCCCAAATGCCTGCAACAAGCCAAGACTGAGCCAGACCAGGCAGCAGCAGCAGAAACTCCCCCGGGGTCTTCTACGTGGGTGACAGGGCCCAGGGACTTGGCTTCACCTGCTGCTTTCCCAGGCACATCAACAGCAAGCTGGCTTGGAAACAGACCCGTGGAAACTCAAAGCAGTGCCCTAACACAGGATGAGCATGTGCTACTGTTGCAAGGAATGGCTTCATCTCCTGCACCACAACACTGGCCCCAGTTTTTCAACTTTAATCCACGGTTTCCAAAGAACCAAATTTGGTTTTGCACCTAACCCTTCAGCCTTTATCATCTCAATGTCCTTCCTTGAGGGGGCTTAATTTGCTGCTCTTCGTCTAATTTCTTGGTAATGATGTGTCAGGAGTGATTTTACTTTCTTCATGAATGCACTCGAGGCTCTGAAGCTCCACCCGACCACTGGGCTGGCTGTCTCCACAACTTCTGCTCCGACACTGTCATCATCATTCAGATATTAATGTATTCCCATCCACACTGTGATTTCTAACTTGACCCATCGATTACTTATTGACTGTGTCATTTAGTTTCCAAACATTCAGTATTTCTTGTCTTCCTTTTCCAGTGTCACCTGAGGCTAGTCTCTGTGCAATGTTTTTCATTATTCATACTTTGCTGGGTTTTCCCTGTGGCCAGCACATGCTTGCTGGAGATTTCCATACAATCCTCAGTCCCTACTACTAGAATAGCCATTTCATCTGGGTCCCTTCAGTTAAACATGACAGCAAGATGGAAAACAAACAAACAAAGAAGTTTAAAAATTATACAAATAAGCGTATGGTCATATAAACTACTAAATGGAAACGGGCAAAGTGCAGAACACAGTAAACATTATGCTCTCACTTGTGTAGAAAATTACTGAAAATATTACATGCGCAGGAATTTGAATAAGTATTAATACTCTGCACACAAAGGGCATGGTATCATGGATTTCTCTCTCTCTCTCTCTCTTTTTTCCTGAGGGGAATCAAATAATGAGGACTGCAGCAGAGTTACACAAGAAAGGAACAGAGTTTTGTCCATTTTATTAAACAAACTTAGGCCATAAAATATTTGTGACTTAAATTTCTTCTATATACTAAATGTATATAACCCAGTTAGCGTGAAGTGTTTGCTAGAAATCGTTCCTCACAGCTTCTTTTTAAAACCTTCAGTTATCTTCTTCTTTTTGCATTAGGATTATATCTGCAAGGAAAGAATTGGCATTAAAGAATGTTAAAGTAAGGGATCATCATTTACTTTGAAAGCTTAAGACACACACAATAGCCAACAGGATGGAAATGCCAATTTCATCCTTTATTAAAGGACTGGCAGTTCATTTTCATTTATGCCTTTGATGTTGCTTTTATGAATATATTGTAAACTGAAACAAATCATTAACAAAAAATGTTATAAAGCACTAAAATAATTAAAACAATAGTTTAAAAGTCACGGTATGTTTATACTTCTTTCAGTAGGGCTTGGAATGGATCCCACACACCTGCACTCAGAAATTAAAGCATACCATTTGCACAACAGAACAGAATGAACCCCAAATAGAATTATAACTGTAGAAAAGTTTCTGCTACAGCAATTAAACAAATATAATTGGGCAACCTGACAGTCGCATTTAATCCTGAAGAAATCAGTATTAAACCAGTATAAAAGGCATTCTCATCTAAAAAAAGTGGATTGTATTTCCAAAATTAGAGAATCAACCAAACTGACTGTGAAAAGTACATGACTTTCTTCTGTCTTTACGATTAGAGAAAAAAAAAATTAGGAAAATGCACCCTCACACTGTGTTTCTCTTCTGTTTAGTATTTGAGCGTCAACTAAGACTTGTTTGGCCTATTACATTTTCAACACTCATTACACTCCTCTAAAACCTCCCACAAACTTTGAAAACTCCAATCTATTTTTCTTTGTTTTTATCTATGTGCCAATTAAAGTTAATGTCTGTCATTTTGTCTTAATGCAAAGCCCCTTTCATTCATAAGTCTACTGAAGAGTTGAAAATAAATCTCAGAAAGTGGTCAAGTTCAGCTAGCTCAGGAAGCCTCCTTTTCCCTGCATGAGCCAATACGGATGTTAACTACCTTGTGTTACAGCACAACTGCATCGACCCCAAATTTGAAAGCTATACCCAATAAGCCCAACTGAGAGGTGCTCAAATAGTACAAGGAAATAGGTATCCTAAAAATAAAACATTCCCGTAGTGAAGGGCCTATTTGTCCAAAAGGGCAGAACAACAAAAAGGAATCTATATAAATAACAATGCAAAGTTTAAGAAAGCTGAATTAAACCTTACCTAAAGAGATCATCAGCAAGCGATTCTTCCTTGGCGTGCTGAATTTGCACCTGTTGAAATGAACACACTTTCAAACATTTGCTCAGGGGTGAATATTAAGGACATGAATATCCAGGCTGACGCGTCACAGTGAGCTCTGGCCTCCCGACCATCTCCCCCTCCACAAATCATTTGTTTTCACTTCACACTGAGACTATCATTGCCCCAGTGCTTGAACAGAACAATTCTACCCGACCTGCCTTCTACAGGTGTCCCACACATATTATTAGTTTGTTGAGTTTTTAATTGATCTTTCCAGCAGAACCCTTCTACTACATGGAATTCCAGTGCACTGACACAAGACCACTCCTGAGCCTGAGATGGGGGTGCTTCCCCAGCAGCAAATGGGCTCCTTCCGTTTAGTCCCAGCTGAGCATGCTGAAGTGGCTGCTGAACTACCCCAGCCAGGCAGTACTTTTCATGCTAAAGTCCTCAGGCTTCTAACACATTAAAACAGAAAAACCATGTGCTGAGGGCATTTCCTCAAACCCGCCTCTGATCCCTTCATTTGCCATCCAAAACCCTTCAGTGACTGAGTCTGACCCTTACAAGGTGCAAATCCCTGGAGAACCTGGCTTCCTGTCACCTTCCTAATCATATCCTGCATCTCCAGACCTGTTCTTGGGCCCATGTCTTCACATCACTTAGCTATGGATGTTGTGGCCATTTGGAGAATGAACCAGCAGATGGAAGAACATCCTTCTCTGTCTCTCCTTCTCTCTGTAACTCTGCCTTTCAAATAAAAATAACATAAAGCCTAAAAATATGCAAAAGAAGTAGAAGTAGATAGCAATAAGACAGTTATGCCTTAAATGTAGAGACCAATAAATAAGAAAAATATTTTAAAAGCTTTCACAGAGACTCTCCTAAAATGAAGCTTCAGAACTATATTCAAAAATCAGAACACTTATACAGTACTCTAGGAAAAGAAGTGGAGAACATTCGACAATGGTATATATTCTGTTTCCTACTGACTTTCAAGCTGAAAAAGGGATACTTCAAACACGCAAGTCATCCAGAAAGTGGAAACATTGGACTATGAAAAGATA